CTGTCTGTTCTGGTGAGTACTCTTCTGAAGTAAGTGGCCAGGCTGGATGCAGCTGCAACGCCCTTACTGACCTCCACGGGACGCCATGTGAGAGTCCTGCCTGTCTGATTGTGTCTGTCCGGCGCCGATGTCACTGTGTGTGTGTGTGTCCACTGTGCGCTCCGTGGCGGGGTGGGGGAGAAAGACTTCCTGCCTCATTCTCCAGGTTGTTCGGAACTGAGACGGGTTCGTTCTCCGCTACTGTGTCAGGAGCATCCAGGGTTTTGACTGTGTCTTTTTCCCGTTTTTGTGTCGACTGCGTGTGTGCGTCTATCTACTATTTGTTCCGTGAGGGGGGGGGGTGTAAATTCCTGTCTCATTGTCCAGGTCGTTCGGAATTGAGGCAGTTTGATTCCCCTCTACCCTGTCTTGACTGTGTCTTCCCTGTGTCCGTGTTTGGTCCTTGCTTACGTGAGCACGTCTATTTGTTACTCTTTTCTTTCTCAGTCCTTAATCCACCATGGGACAAGGACCCTCGAGCCCTAAGCCAGGCTCCCCTCTCTTTATTGTCTTACGGGACTTCAAACAATATCGGCGTATAGCAGAAGGTTACGGGTTTCAGGTTACTAAAAAGAAATTAGCTCTCCTTTGCCAACAGGAATGGCCCACCTTCGAGGTAGGCTGGCCCCCAGGGGGTACGTTTGACGTCTCGGTGGCCGGCCGGGTCAGGGGAATTGTCTATGGTATACCTGGCCACCCCGATCAGGTCCCCTATATCACCGCCTGGATTGATTTCAAACCCCCTTCGGGACCACTACAGGTCCAGGCCCTTTCAAAACTAAGACCAGGAACGGAATCAAAGACGACCTTTAGCCGCAAGCCTCCCGAAAGTCCTAAGGTCGTCACACAGCTTTCTCCTGTCTTACCACCCCCTGATTCTGACCCCTTAGATCCAGCTGAGTACTCCCAGTCCCAGGTTTCAGATCCACCCCCGTACCCAACCTCAGGGTCTCTGAGCCCCTCAGCCCCTCCTCTGATAAGTCCACCCCATACTCGAGCAGGTGCTCCTTATGGCCCTTCTAATTCCAGTTTGACCCCAGATTCCACTGTGTCAGCGTTTCCCCTGCGGCAAGTTCCTTCCCCTCCCGGAGAATCAGGGAGACCGTTCATGGTATATGTTCCCTTCTCCACCAGTGATTTGTACAATTGGAAACAGCAAAACCCATCCTTCTCTGATAAGCCCCAGAGCCTAATCTCCCTCCTAGAGACTGTCTTTTATACTCATCAGCCCACCTGGGATGACCGCCAGCAGCTCCTCCGGGTTCTTTTCGCAACCGAGGAGCGTGACAGGATTCTTTTAGAAGCCAGGAAGGGAGTTCTGGACCCAGATGGACATCCCTCTACTGACCTGGGGTGCCACAACCACATCTTCCCCGAGAACCGGCCCGACTGGGACCCCAACACTGATCGCGGTAGGGAAGCACTGGACAGGTATCACCAGTTGTTGCTGGGAGGGTTACGGGCAGCAGCACGGAAGCCAACTAATATGTCCAAAGTCAGTGAGGTTAGACAGGGCAAGAATGAGTCCCCAGCTGCATACTTAGAGCGCCTCTACGAGGCATATCGAACCTACACCCCTATCGACCCAGAGGATCCCAATAACCGGAGAGCCATCGTAATTGATTTCGTAGCCAATTCAGCTCCTGACATCCGTCGGAAGCTACAGAAACTTGAAGGTTTTGAGGGTAAAAATCTGACTGAACTCATGGAAGTGGCCAAGCGGGTGGTTGACTATCGTGAAGAGACTCAAGACAAGCAAACTCGCACGGTCGCAAGGGCGGTAGTGGCAGCTTTAGCACAGGTTCCAGGGGAGGCTCAGAAGCAAGGGTGGAAAGGAAGGCGGGAAGGGCCAAACGCTGGGCGCCCCTATAAGGGTAAAGGCTTGGGAAGGCCTCCTTTAGCTCGGGACCAGTGTGCTTACTGCAAAGCCATGAGTCATTGGAAATCTGAGTGCCCTAATCTCGGGCTGAAAGAGAAGGCAGAGCCGTTATTGACTTTGAATACAGACTAGGGGTGCCCCGGCTCAAAGTCCGTTGTGACTCTTGACCCCCTGGAGCCGAGGGTTACTCTCAGTGTTGGGGGTCAACCTGTCTCATTCCTAGTCGACTCTGGAGCTGCGGCATCGGTCCTGAAATCCCCACTGGGCTCCCTCTCATCATCCACTGTGCAGGTCCAGGGAGCTACTGGACGAAAACAGTCTGTACCCCTCACCACTTCTCGGGAAGTCCGGTTAGGGAAGGGCCTAGTCTCCCATTCTTTTCTAGTAATGCCTGATTGCCCTTACCCCTTGCTTGGCCGAGATCTCCTACACAAGCTGCAGGCTATCATTTCCTTTAAGGGACCTAACCCCACTCTCGGGTTTAACCTGCCACAACTTGTTCTCACCTGCCCATTGTCGGAGGAGTCTCGCCTCCTCCCCCTAACGTTTTCCCCAGACCGCCCCTCGACCACCTCCACCCCTACTTCCCTAACTCTGTTGAACCATTTCAAAGGCTTGGTTCCTGGAGTCTGGGCTGAGACCAACCCGTTTGGTCTAGCAGGACACCAGCCCCCAGTGGTGGTCCAGCTCTCGTCCACAGCAACCCCTGCGCGTGTCCAACAATACCCGTTGACTCGAGCTGCCCTTTTGGGCATCAAGCCTCACATCGATCGACTCTTGGCGGCAGGCATTCTACGACCCTGCCAGAGCTCGTGGAACACCCCCCTACTTCCAGTTCGCAAGCCCGGGTCTGGAGACTTCCGTCCTGTCCAGGATCTACGAGAAGTCAACGCCCGGGTGGAAACTGTACATCCTACTGTGCCAAACCCGTACACGTTGCTGTCTTCCCTGGACCCTGCTCGGACTTGGTATACTGTTTTGGACCTGAAGGATGCTTTCTTTTCTATTCCCTTGGCACCAGTAAGCCAACCTATATTCGCTTTTACTTGGACAGATCCTAACACTGGGACATCCTCTCAGCTCACCTGAACCCGGCTTCCCCAAGGTTTTAAGAATTCCCCTACACTTTTTGGCTCAGCTCTGGCCTCCGACCTGGCCGCCTTCTGGGTCTCGTATCCGGAGGTCACTCTCCTCCAGTATGTTGATGACCTTTTGTTAGCTACTTCCTCTGAGGCAATATGCAAAGATGCAACTCTCCACCTTCTCCAGCTGCTTGAAGCTTCCGGGTACCGTATCTCTGGAAAGAAAGCACAACTGTGCTCTCAATCCGTTGTTTACTTGGGTTTCACCCTTCGTTCTGGTCAAAGGTTACTGTCTCGGGGGCGTGTAGCTGCCATTTTGGGCATGCCCGCCCTGAGGGACCGCCGCGGGCTCCGGGAATTCCTGGGGATGGCTGGATACTGTCGCCTCTGGATCTTGGGGTTTGCCGAGGCTGCCAAACCCCTATATGAGGCCCTAACTGGTGAACCCACCCAATTTGTTTGGGGACCACGGCAGCAGGAAGCATTCGACAAGCTCCGAAAGGCGCTGTCCAGCACGCCTGCCCTCTCCCTGCCAGACCTGTCCAAGCCCTTCCGCCTCTATGTGTCTGAGTCTCGAGCTGTGGCCAAAGGGGTTCTGACCCAGCCCCTGGGGCCCTGGAATCGTCCTGTTGCCTATCTCTCCAAGCAGCTAGACCCTGTGGCTTCCGGGTGGCCCTCTTGCCTGCGAACTGTGGCGGCCGTTGCCGTCTTGGTTAGGGAAGTCGCAAAGCTCACTTTCGGGCAGCCTCTTGAGATTTCAGCATCACATCATCTGGAACAGCTTTTACATTCCCCGCCGACAAGATGGATCTCAAATTCATGCCTGACTCATTACCAATCCTTACTCCTAGATCCCGCGCGCATCTCTTTCGCTCCTCCGTTCACACTCAACCCGGCCACCCTGCTCCCTGACTCCCCTCCTTCCTCCCCTATACATGACTGCCTGGACACACTGGACTCCATCCACACGTCCCGCCCTGGACTTACTGATGTTCCTTTAACAAACCCAGACCTAGTGCTCTTCACGGACGGCAGCAGTTTTGTTCAGGAGGGGATCCGTAGGGCGGGTGCAGCCGTGGTCACTCCGGTTGAGACCCTCTGGGAGACCGCTCTACCCCCTGGCACATCTGCTCAACGTGCTGAACTCATTGCCTTAACTCAAGCCCTTAGACTCTCTGCAGGGAGGCGAGTAAATATTTACACAGATAGCCGCTATGCCTTTGCCACTGTTCATGTCCATGGATATGTATATCTCCAATGGGGTCTGTTAACCTCGGCGGGAAGGGAGATTAGGAACAAGAGTCAGATCCAGGAACTGCTGGATGCTGTCTGGCTTCCCAAGGAGGTGGCGGTAATTCATGTTCCTGCTCACACCCATGGAACTGACCCCCAGTCTCTAGGGAACGCAGCAGCGGATAAGGCTGCCCGAGTGGCTGCCTGCAAACCCTTGATACCCGCTATGGTCGTGGAACCTGAGGGGATGCTGCCTGTCCAACCATCTTATCAATCTAGTGATACGGATGGCACCCCTGAAAAGGGGGGATGGAGAAGACACCCAAATGGCTTGCTAATTCTGCCCAAGGCACTGTTGCTACCCCTGTTGATGACTCTTCATAGCCTTACCCACTTAGGCGGAACCCGGCTTTACGACCTGGTGAGCCGACACTTCTACAGCCCTGGGATGAAGCAGGCGGCCAAGGAAGCCGCAAGAAGGTGCCTTGCATGTGCCAAAGTCAACCCACGATCACAATCAAGGATACCGACTGATAGACCACGAGGAACATTTCCTGGCGACCATTGGGAAGTAGACTTTACTGACATGGGAACTGGGTTGGGAGGGTACCGTTTTCTCCTTGTATTCGTGGACACATTTTCTGGATGGCCAGAAGCATTTCCAGTCAAAACTGAAACTGCAACCGTAGTGGCCAAAAAGCTGTTCTTTGAACTTATTCCTAGATTTGGCCTGCCGGCCTCGATAGGCTCTGACAACGGCCCAGCATTGTATCTGCAACAATTCAAAGCCTATCAAAGATGCTGGGATTGAAATGGAAATTGCACTGTGCATATAGGCCTCAAAGTTCAGGGCAGGTAGAGAGGATGAATAGAACTCTAAAGGAACACATTGCTAAACTTAAAATAGAAACTGGCGATAGCTGGGTCAGTCTCCTTCCCTTCGCCCTCCTCCGGGCCCGGTGTACTCCCAATTCCTCAACCCTCTCTTTATCTCCATACGAGAATCTCTATGGAGCCCCTCCTCCTATTATTCCAAGAGTATCTGCAGCTATTCCAGCCCCAGATTTCACTAATCCGACTCTTCTTAAGTCCTTCCAGGCTTTGCGTGAGGTCCAGAACGCTGTGCGCTCGGTCCTGAAAGCTGCGGGGAAAGAACCAGCCCCTGCAACCTCATCGGACACCCTGTCACCGGGAGACTGGGTCCTCACTCGCAAGCTTCCAGCTGGACCAGCACTGGAACCACGGTGGACGGGCCCGTATCAAATTATCCTCTGCAACCCCTCTGCCGTCAAGGTTGCTGGCCGCAAGGCATGGATACATCGGTCACACATCAAGAAGGCCCCAGAGCCCAACTCCACCGCCTGGACAGCAGAAGCAGTGTCCTACCTAAAGCTTCGACTCTCCAGAACTTGACTCTTCTTCTCTTTCTTTTTGCTTGTGAGATGACTTTGGGTGACCCCTATAGCCCTACCCCATCCAGGTGGATTCTCTCCCGAACTAACGATGGGACCACCGTCCAAGCTCTCACCAGTTACGGAGCCCCCACTTTCAGGTTTGACCTCTGTGCCCTCTTGGGACCAGGATGGAATCAAAACCGGGCTATGCGGGACCCTATCGCTGGGGGATGGGGATACTGCCCCACTTTTCCCACCACTCCAACCACACCCGGGGTAGGGGAAGTGAGAATCAGAAGTATTGAATTCTATGTTTGTCCGGCCACGGGGAATCCTTCCTGTCAGGGTAGTAATCACTTTCACTGCGCAGAATGGGGTTGTGAGACTGTGGCCAGGTGGATTCCTAGGGGTGGCCGGGACCCCCTAATCACCCTGGAGAGACAAAGCCCCCTCCCCGCCTCCTGCTGGCCTGGGAAATGTAACCCTATGATTCTAACAGTCAAGCAGGACACTGATGACTCTTGGAATCTCGGACATTCTTGGGGTTTGAGGTTATACATGACTGGATGGGATAACGGGGTCCTTTTTACCATTCAGAAAATCGCAGTTTCCACCCGTACACTCCCCATAGGACCGAATCCCATCCTTAACCCACAAGCCATGTTGACTCTCGCCCCACCATCTGTTAGGGACCTGGTACCAGAGGCTCCCGAAAATCCAGAGACCCTCACTAACCTAGGTTCCCCCATTTTTGATACACTCTCTGCTGTCCACTCATTCCTAAATTTGTCTGATCCAAACATAACCACCTCCTGTTGGCTGTGTCTGAATCCAGCTCCCCCCTATTTCGTAGGAATTGCTATCGAACTCAACATCACCTCTGTGGGAAAGTTGTCTTTAAGTAAGTCCAAACGATCCTCTGCCATACCTGCCCGCTGTAACCCAGACAAGCCTAGACTTACCCTAGACGATGTCCAGGGCAAAGGAATGTGTTTGCTCGGGCCTGACTACCCGCTGCGGTCCTCCCCATTCAATGCTACGTGCACTTCAGTCATTCTTATTTCCCCCACATCCAAAAGCTCTGACCTCCTGTTAACCGCCCCACCTGGAATATGGTTCGCTTGTACCAGAGGACTCACCACCTGCATACAGGACATTCGTTTCCTCAACCCGACCGAGCTCTGTGTAGTGGTGCGTGTCTTTCCTCAGGTATATGTCTACTCAGAGGAAGGGGCAGCTGAGCATATTGGCTTAACTCGCTCCAGGAGGGCTGTACCCTTTTTGGTTCCCATACTGGTGGGACTCGGAGTGGCCGGCTCCGCTGCTGTTGGGGCCTCAGCCCTGATACAGGGGAAAGCCAACTACGGTGCCTTGACTGCACAGGTAGATAGGGACCTACGCTCCTTGGAAGAGCTAGTCTCACACCTTGAGACTTCCCTAGACTCTCTGGCAGAAGTGGTTCTCCAGAACCGCCGAGGCTTGGACCTACTGTTCCTCAAACAGGGAGGCTTATGCATGGCGTTGGGAGAAACCTGCTGTTTCTACGCCAATCGGTCTGGAGTTATTCGGGAGTCCTTGCAAGCCTTTAGGCAGCGGTTAGATGAGAGGGACCGCGCACGGGCAACGGGGTCTTTTTGGTATCAGACCCTATATAATTGGTCCCCCTGGCTAACCACCCTACTCTCCGGAGTGGTGGGCCCTCTGGCCCTTCTCCTCCTTGGGTTACTCGTGGCCCCTTGTCTCATAAAATGCATCACCCGCTATGTCCAGAAACGAGTGCAAGCACTCCAGTTGCTTGTCCTGTGTCAATCCTATGCTCCTCTGGACTCTGATGAGTCCCCCGTCTGACTCTTTTCGTCCGTGAAAAGGGGGGAGTGAAGTGGACTGAGTTGTCACAAAAAAACAACCCCCTAGCCTAACCT